GCATTTCAAGGAAATAGCCCACACAGTTGTGGAGGCTAACAAGTCCCAAATATGTCAGTCAGGTGACAGATTGGAGCCTTCTCCTGATTCACATGGTTCATGGGAGCTGGAAAATCCTCAAATCTATAAGCCACACAGCTGACTACTGGCTCATGTTCCGGGAAGTGCAAGTAAGAGAATGACATCTCTGGTGTAGGATCGAGAGTCAGCCTTGTCAGAACATCTTCCTCATGCACTGATGCAGGCCACTGCCAAAGAAACTCTGAGATCAAAAAAGTTGTTGTTATTATGTGCTGTCAAGTCGCTTGCAACTCATAGCAATCCTATATGTACAATAGCCCTAAACCCTGCTCTATCCTGTGCCAACCTCACTGTCTGACACACACCTATTTCCATTACCCCAGTCACTGAATCGATCCATCTGATGGAGGGTCTTTCTCTTCTGCGCTGTCCCTCCGCTCTCCCAAACATGACCCTCTCCAAGAACTGGTCCCTCCTTGCAAAATGTCCAAAGAATATCCGACAAAGCTTCAGAATCTTTGCCTGCAAGAGGTAGCCCAGTTTTACCCTCTCCAAGACAAACCTGTTTGTTCTCCTAGCAGACCATGATATATACAACACTCTTCTCCAGTACCACAGCTCAAAGGCATCAATTCTCTATCATCCCTAATCATTGTCCAGCTCTCTGGTGCATAGCACGCAACTGCGAAGACTATGGCCCAGATCAGGCACACCTTATTCTCCAGCCTGACATCATTGTTCTTCAGTACTCTGATCAGGTCCCTGACAGTTGACTTTCCCAATGCAATTCGTCTCTTGATTTCCTGGCTGCTGGTACCAAGAGTGTTGACTGTGGAGCCAAGTAAACTAAAACTGTTAACTATCTTAATCTCTTCACCATCCATAATGATGGTGCCAACTGGCCCAGTGGTGAGAATCTTTGTTTTCTTGATGTTGAGCTTCAATCCATATTGAAGGCTGCAGTCCTAACATTTGCCTGAACATCATGACCTAATGAAGCTGGATGACACACAACCTTAACCTCAATAGTTCACCTCATGTCAATTTGGCATATATCTGCACACATCCTTAGACCTTAGTATGCTACAACTCACATACATGCATACAACAGAAAATACACTAGCACCATTTACATCTTAAGGAATAAATTAAGGGTGGGAAGAAAACAAAGGTATTTGATACACACACAGGTAACAAGGAAAGGAAACGAAAAACAATTATAACCCTCATTTTTGTTAATGACCATAATATGGTACTCCCTGCTTGCAGCCAAGATCCATCTAACATTAGCTACAGTATAACTAGTACCATGACCCCAGCCTGCACTTCTGGCAGTTCTCTGTTGATGTGCTGTTCCAGTCGTTTTTGTATGATCTTCAGCAGAATCTTGCTTGCATGTGGTATTAATGATATTGTTAGATAATTTCCACTCTGTATGATCACCCTTGGAATGGATACAAATCTAGATCTCTTCCAGTCAGTTGGCCAAGTGGCTGTCCTCCAGATTTCTTGTCACAACTTGATGAGCACATCCAGGGCAGTGTGTGTCTATTGAAATATGTCAATTGGTATACCATCAATTCCTTGGGCTGAAAGCAGGGAGTACCAAAGGAATGTTTATCTCTGTTTCCTTGATTATACAAAGGTGTTTGACTGTGTGGATCACAACAAACTGTGGCTAACTCTGAAAAGAATGGGAATCCCAGAACACTTGACTATGCTAATGCAAAACCTACACTTGGACCAAGAGGCAGTCATCAGAACAGAGCAAGGAAACACTGCATGGTTTAAAATTAGGAAGGGTGTACACCAGGGATGTATACTATCTCTATACCTTTTCAATCTATATGCAGAAGAGATTATCCAGAAGGCTGGGCTCTATGAGGAGAAATGTGGCATCAGGATTGGAGGAAGATTCATCAACAGTTTGTGTTATGCGGATGACACAACCCTGCTTGCTGAAACTGAGGAGGACCTGAAGTGTTTGCTGCAGAAGATCAAGGACTGCAGCCTTCAATATGGATTAAGGCTAAATAGCAAGAAAACAAAAATTCTCACCACTGGGCCAACTGACAGCATCTTGATAGATGGTGAAGAGATTGAGATTTCTCACAGCTTTTGTTGCTTGGCTCCACAATCAACACTCTTGGCACCAGCAGCCAGGAAATTAAAAGACATAATGCCATGGGAAAGTCTGCTGATAGAGACCTCTCCAAAGTACTGAAAAGCAATGATGTAACTCTGGAGACTAAGGTGCACCTGATACAGGCTATGGTCTTTGCAATCACTTGCTATGCGTCAGAAAGCTAGACAATGACTAGGGATGATAGAACTGATGCCTTTGAGCTATGGTGTTGAAGGGTATTGAATATACCATGGACTGCTAAGAGAATGAACAGGTTCGTCCTAGAGAGGGTTAAACAGGATGCTCTTTGGAGGCAAGGATTCTGAGGCTTCGTGTGACATACTTTGGACATGTTGCAAAAAGGGACCAGTCCTTGGAGAGGGACATCATGCTTGGAGAGACAGCGCAGGAAAGGAAGACCCTCTATGAGGTGGATTGATTCAGTGACTGGGGTAATCAGGGTAGGTGTGTTGGAGACAGTGAGATTGGCACAGGACAGAGAAGGGTTTAGGGCTGTTGTACATGCTATGCAGGCTACTCGATAGCACATAACAACAACAACATACTATGGTCACAACTGGGATTTCGAACTACTTTCTTCCACTGCTCATTCTGTATTCCCTTTGTCCTCAGCAAGCACTTCATCTGGTCATGGTTCTTTGCTTAGAGTGAGCCAACTCATTCTGATGAAGGGCCTGAGCTAAGAGTAGGCATGTCTGAGTTGTTGTAGCTTTCCATTGACTCTAATCACAAACTTATTAGAACCTAGAGAAGTCCTAAGGGAGCTCCTATATTCCAGACACACCCAGAAAAAAATACTGCCGTAAAGGATGTGGTGATCTTACAAAGAAAGGTTACTATGGTCATGACCATGATGCAGGTGCGTAAGGACAAATTAAGCTTAATGAGTCCTTTAGACCAGTAGATGTATTTCATGAATAACAAATTTAAGCAGGTTGAGAAACTGGAATGTATATACATAGTATATGCCAGTCAGTACCACATCTCCCTTGGAGGACCAGATGGTGATGAAGGACTGTGAGTCCGACCACCAGGCTGACCACAGTGCAGGTATAAGTGGACAGATTCTTTACAGAGACCTCTAAGAGCAGCTTGGAGGTCAGGTAGCTCAGTCAGCTGTCTGAGGGGACTTCTGATGTAGGTGACAGCTCTGCTCAGCCAGGAGACTAGCTACTGCCCACCATACCCTTACCAGGCAGAAAAGGAAATGACAGTGAAGCATGTGGTAAAAAGAGATCACACTGCAGAGGCAGTGGACACAGCCTTATCATACAGAACATAAAGGGAAACAGTCTGGAGCTAGATGGCGTCAGTCTGAACACAAGGGTACTGGGAGCATAGCTGACAGCTCTGTGTAGCCCGTAAGATTTCCTGTCTTACAGGTTGTTCACTTGGAATAGCCAAACCTTCCTGTGAGCAGTTTCTTGCTCTAAGTGGCCCTGGAATGCTGAGCCAGGAGATCTTCCAAAAGATCAAGTTGACCAAAGGCCTCATGACCAAGGTAGAATTTTGGAAGTATCTCAGACTAGTCAGGGAATAGGGCACCATGGTGTCTTAGTGGTAAGGAGCTGCACTGCCAACCCAAAGGCATGTAGTTTGATTTCACTAGCCACTTCATGGCTGATTCCCCTCGAGTGATTAATGGCCTCTGAAAACTCATTGGAGGATCAGCTGCGAGTCGGTTCCGACTCAATAGCACATAACAGTCAAGGAATAACTTTCTAAATGATGCCTCCCAATGAGCCACTATCGAATTAAGAATTTCATCTCATCTATTAAAGACTTCTAAGGAACAGATGCTTCAAGGACTTGTTTAAGGTAGCTCATATCTACTTCAGGAAAAGTGGATCTGAAAAGGAAAATGTGGACTACAAGAAAATCTACACAGAGAAAATCCAATAAAACACTGTTCACTAGAACTAGCAGGGTAACTGGTCTAAAGGTCTTACCATTCAGCTTTCTGAGAGGTTCCTTTTAACCCTTTATAAATTAGTACGTTGTCAATCCTTTGCCTTCTTTTTCTATATTGTTTCTCATGTTTTGTAGATTCCTGGAGTTCTGGGTCAGCGACACCAAACTCTCTCTAAAATCACTAGCTCCATGATCTCTGCCCACATTTGTAAGTTCATCCAACAGAGTCAATGTCTGTTTGAGTCTGGCCTGAACAATTTTCTGCTCTTCTAATTCGGCAAGAAGAGCCTGCTTAGCACATAACTCAGTCTTGTATGTCTCCTGCAACTTTTCAATCTCGTTCTGAAGAAGTTGGAATTCTTCCTCGCTGTAAGGATGCATCTCCTGGGGTTTATCTTCCGGAAGCAGAATGTTTGGAGGAATGTTCAAAATCAGCTGCAAAAATAGCTGCTCCATTTTTCCAAAAAGGTTATCAAAACATCCTCTCATGAAGTTAAGAAACTTCTCTGTGCATGTGCGAATCTGCACTGGACTAATGTCACAGTCTGAGATGTCATCCAGCTTCTTCAGGATAACCTGTTCAACAGCCTGCATCACTTCAAATAGGGTATCTTGAAATGCAATGTAGATCCTAAGCATGCAAGTCTGTGGTGTGAAACCAAAGAACTGGGCCTCATAGGCCATTGGATCAATAGACATCTTGGCTTATTTTATCAGGTATTTGTGAAAAATCTGCAAATGTGAAAAGAAAAACAATTATTAGGAATAAAAACTTGTTTGAAGAAAGAAACAAGCCATAACATTACACATGGGGGAAGGGGGAATCAAACAAGCAGATAAAAAAAATTCGTTTAAGGTTCTTGATCCTCAATGCTACTTCCTCATTCATGAATAAAGAACATAAACCTATCGCTCTGTGATGTTTGTTTGCACTTTACTCTCATTGTTAATTATTTTTTCACTCTTATTAAAAATGGGTGAAGGTAGGGTGAGGAGGCATATCTTTACTAACTTTACTAACTCCATAGCAAGAATGTTCACGAACACCGATGAAGTCAAACACGTTCTTCACACTCTTGCACCTACTTATATTAATTCCAACAGCAACCTAGCTGCTCTACTACTAGGTCTGAAATCTGTTAAAATAGTTACACAGACCTCATAGATCCATATTCACAACAATAACAGAGTTGAGGTGTGTATGTGTGTATGAGAGAGACAGACATACCAAGTATCATCAAAAGGTAAGTTGAAATACACTTCTCTGATGATCAGTCCCTCCTCCCAACTACCATCAGGATAGGACCCTCTCTGAGAGAAATGACAGAACAAGCTCCACTTTAAGACGTGGGGGAGGGGGGTGCCTTTATGGTCAGTGGTATCACTTCTAAACCAGGCTGAGTCCAGTATAGTCAATATTTGAACATTAAACGGAGGAAGTGTCCCTTACAGCTCAAGAGGTTAGAGAAGAGCTGCCAGAAAATGATAGGCAGGACTGGAAACCATACACAAGAACTGTTTCCGGCACATCGCCAAGCCCCAATCGGCACCGCTACTGCATGTCGGGACCTTCGGATCCTACTCTCTCCAGGCTCGCGAGGTTGTTCTAATAATCCCCTACACTGCCCCTGCACTAATGCTTAATCCAGTTCCTCCTGTGAGAACAGGCCCCGCGACACTTACCGATTCGGACGTGGAGTGACAAATCCCACTAAGCTACCGCTTCCCGCCACCTCCAAACCACGGCCGTTTGCGAGCTGTAAGCAGTGCCAGGACGCCCGAAAATCCCGACTGATACTTGTCTCAGCGAATGAAAGCAAAGGCGGGATTTCATCCTTCTCCTGATTGGCTGGCCGTCTGTTCGGAAGTGGGACACCTGCACTGGGTGATGAAAAGAGGCCAGGCGGGAAAGTCAGCTGTGGCCAGCGGGGATTGGCTGAGGAACAGGATGTTGAAGGGTGGAGCAGGAGGCGGGGCTAGTCTAGAGATAACTTGTTATTGGTAACTGTGCTTACTCACAGTGTCTAGCGATTGACGGCTGGCTGGCCACACAACGCCGATTGGACAGCCCTAAAAGGATAGTCCCCGCCCCTTTTGATCCTTCCTCTTAGACCGACTGGCGGAAGGGGAACTGGTGGGCAGGTGGCGGTGGGAAAGATGGCGTATCAGAGTCTTCGTCTGGAATATCTCCAAATCCCACCGGTCAGCCGCGCTTACACTACCGCCTGCGTCCTCACCACCGCCGCTGTGGTGAGCACCTGCAGCACCTGTTTCTCGTTATTTGTTGGATGTGCCTAGGTCCCAAAGAAGCTGGTGTTTGGGCCTCGGGGACCCCCAGAGGGGCTGGTCACAGGGATGGGTGGAGGCGTATATGGCTCTTGTTTGATGTTTGGGGCAGTGCTAAGGATGCTGTTTGCAGAGAAGGAGGTTAGACTCCTTGACAGGTGGGATGAGGGGGACAGATCTGCACATTGGTTTCCGAGAGAGAGGCCAGATCCTCCAACACGCGTTTGCAAGAGATGAAGCCAGATAGCTGATTAGGGCGGCGGGAGCCGCCCACCTGGGAAATTTGTCCCAGAGCACCAGGCGATGGCCAGGAGGTTCCAAGGAAATTGGGAGAAGGTCTGCTTTGTGAAGCAACTTATTAGAAAACCTAGGTATTGTCAGGGGTGGAAAATGCTGACAAAAAAAGGGTCTGCAGATACAGGCTTTGGTTGGAGACACCTAGCGCTGATAGCGGCAAGATTTTGCGTCTCCATTCTTTTTGTCATATAAGAGCACAGCTGTTTGCTCGTGATGCCCATGTGGTAGGCACATTTCGTTGCAGCTGCTCTTATTTGCCCTGTAGCAAAACTATTGCGCCTGTAAGTCAACCTCAAGTATTGACTCATAAAGTAGACTTATTTTCGTGGAGTATTAGGAGTACAGAGAATTTTATCAATTAGAGGAAAGTCTTCAACTTCGTTTTAAACGAATTCCATCCAGGTGGCTGAGTTTTGGAAATTTTTAGGCTTACTGATTACTTCTTGTAAATGATAAGACTTTGCTTTATTGATTTAAGAAGCCATTTTTTCTATTTCAGCAGTTGGAATTGATCACACCTTTTCAGTTGTACTTCAATCCGGAATTAATCTTTAAACATTTTCAAGTAAGTGGCCCGTCATGATTATTATGTTTTAGAGTCCTAATTTGTTTTTCTTTTGAGTAGCAAATCATACACTAACCTGAAAAAATAATTGAATGAGAACGTTTGTGCTATATGTCTTAAAAGTGTTCAGCTGCTTCACTGGGCTTTAGCATCACTAGGAAACTTTTAAAAGATTCTTAGGTTTCTTATCTGCCAAATAATACTCACACAGGGTAGAAATTAAGAATCTTTGTGGTTTTGATGGGTGCAGGTTTTGTGTTTGGGAATCATTAGAGTCAGGCTGTGGTCTGAAGAGACAGAGTCACTAAATGTCCTCTCCCTGTGCAGACAGACGTACACACCACCTTAATGTTATAATATGGTCCGGTTCAGAAGTTCAGTTCCGTTAGCACTTTTTAACTGATCTATCGTCCACGGATTGCTGTTATGTACTATTGAGTTAGAACTGACTCTTAGCTGACCCTGTAGGTTTTCAGAGGCAGTAAGTTTTATGGGGGGGAGGGGGGGAATTGCCCATCTTTCTTCCTGTAGCAGCTCCAGGATTTGAACTCTGTACCTGTGGATTGGTGGTGCAAATCGTTACCACTGGACCATTAGTGCTCCCTTTTCCTGGATTAGGCGAACTTTCAGATGACCAACTTCTGAAAGACCATGCCAATTTGTTAAGTTAGTATACTCATAAAAGCCGTAATCTTTACAATGGGGTGAGAACGAGACCAAAAAGTTTATCATTATTCTGCCTGTACACATGTTGCTCTTTCTGTTACAGATGTGTTTTATTTACTTTAAAAAAAAAAGAAACAAAACACAAAAACAAACACATTTTATCTGCTTTACAGATTTTATGTAACTTCCTTTGATTCCCATCAGGGTATCTACAGATCCTTTCAAGGCATCTCTCACCTTCTACTTGCACTATTTATATGCGTGTCTCCTCATTATGATGAAGACTCATATCCTGAGTGTAGTTACTATGTAAAACTAGAGTGTGCCAACTTTAAGAGTTAATACTTCTCAAGAGCATAATTCTGTATAAAGCAATTGTGTGTTCTCATAGCACTCATAGTCTGGATGCTGCAGCTCCACCCAAACATTGCTCCCTGGAGGCTCACTTGTCTTGATTTTGCCTAGAGGTAAATTCTTTAATACTACCTTGCATCATTTTGGAGTTGGATGTTTCAGGACTGAGTTTAGAGTCTTCCCTCTACTAGCTATGTGTCTTTTGGCAAGCTATTTTAAAGTTGTCAAACTTTCTTGGTTTCCTCTTTAATATGGGTATATTTTGTATTATTGTGTTTCATAGATGCCTGCACTTTGACAGATTATAAGTGTATGGCCACCTTGCCACAATGTCTGAGCTATTTTTCCAATAGCCATGTACTCATCTTGTATCTCTGTCACATTTTGGTAATTTTCACAGTACTTCAAATGACAATGTGCATAGCTTTCATGTGCATGAGAAAACCAAAATATTTGCGTGGCTTGTTTTATTTTGGGATCTGAAGCCAAACCTGCCTATCTCTGAAGTATGCCTGTAAACCCAGGATAGTGGAATTACCCTACTTATCTCAAAGAATCATTAAGATACACATGAGATAGGAGACGAGCTTGTTATGTGCCCTCGAGTCGCCTGCAACTCATAGTGACCCTATGTACAACAGCCCTAAACCCTGCTCTATCCTTTCCCAATCTAACTGTCTCTACACCCCAACCCCATTACCCCAGTCACTGAATCAATCCACCTCATAGAGGGTCTTCCTCTCCTGTGCTGTGTCCATCCACTCTCCCAAGCATGATGTCCTTCTCCAAGGACCGGCCCCTCCTTACTACATGACCAAAGTATGTCAGATGAAGTTTCAGAATCCTTGCCTCCAAGGAGCAGCACCTTGTCTCCAGAGTGACACCATTGCTCTTCAGTACTTTGGAGAGGGCCCTAACAGCAGACTTTCCCATCACAGTACGTCTTTTAATTTCCTGGATGCTGGTGCAAGGAGACTAGCTTAGAAAAACTTAAAAATGCTGAATGCTGTACTTGTTGTGAGTAGCTGTTACTGTGTGGGTAGGTGAGGAGGCTAGGGAAGTGTGTATCAGGATCTACCATGAATAATCGGGTTATTCAGTCACTGTCATGGAGTCACTCTTGACTCATAGCAACTCTCCCTCAGGTTTCCTAGGCTGTAAATCACAAGAGGACACTGCCCTCTTTCCTTTGGAGCCCCTGATAGATCTGAACCACTGGAAACGCCCAACCTTTGAGTTAGCGGTGCAGCTTACTGTGAATAAGCCTACCAGAGAGCTCCTGTCCTTAATAATTGGTTGGTTATTCAGATGAAAAGTTTGATATTTGCTTTAGAACGGCCCTTTTTTCTTCATGTCTTTGACTACTTGTTGTTGTTATGTGCCGTCGAGTCGTTTGCAACTCATAGCGACCCCACGTGCAACAGCCCTAAAGCCTACTCTATGCTGCGCCATTTGCCCTGCCCCGACACACCCATCCCAGTTACCCCAGTCACGGAATCAATCCCCCTCATAGAGGGTCTTCCCCTCCTGTGCTGTCCCTCCAAGCATGGTGTCTCTCTCCAAGGACCTGTCTCGCCTTACAACATGTCCAAAGTATGTCAGACGAAGCCCCAGAATCCTTGCCTCCAAGGAGTAGCCTGGTTTAACCCTCTCTAGGATTGACTACTTAGGAAAAATAATTTCTTAATAACTTATGTTAGATCCCTGGAGTGTTTCTTTTTACTTCAAGACCAAGCATTACATTTCATAAATATGTGCATGGAAGCATTGGCTTTTTAAAATAATTTTTAATTTGAATGAAAGTTTACAAATCATACTGGCTTATCAGTCATTCAATCATTCATAGACATTTTGTTTTATAACCTTAATTCCAATTGAGAAAATACTATTTTTTTTCCTTGTACGCTAATTGTCTTTAGCACCAAAATCCTGTCTCAAATTGTGTGTCCAATTTTCATTTAATTTCTTAGTTTCTTAATACTACTAAAATAAAAATAGGACAAATGGATGGCTTTAATAAACAGAAATTAATTTTCTTACCGTTTTCAGACACCTGAAGTCTGAATTGAGAGTGCTGACTCTATGGGAAGCCTTTCTCTCTGTGGCCTTTGAGAATTGTTTTCTTGGAAAACACTATTCCTAAATGAGATTGTATTCATACATATTTACTCACACTGCCATCAAATCTGTTCTGACTCAGAATGAAGCTACATTAGATTTCTGTGGCTATAATCTTCCATAAGATTAGTACCTGTAATTTGTAGAGTAGATGGTGAATTCAAACTGCTGACCTATTGGTTAGCAACACATGTTGACACTGCACCACCAGAAATCTTTTACATAAGTATAGGGGTTAGAGTTTACAACTTATTTTTGGAGGGCCCAGTTCAATTCATAACAGTTCAGAATAGAGCCTTTCAATGATTAAAAAGTTGTAAAAGTTTCCTAGTAAAATATTTAATCTTTCGACTTTTTTTTTAACAGGTATGGAGATTAATCACCAATTTTTTATTTTTTGGGCCAGTTGGATTCAACTTTTTATTTAACATGATTTTTCTGTATCCTTTACTAAGTGAAGTTAGTGTTAAAGCCTTGAGTTGGGAAATACACTAAAACTGTTAATCTTGTTATATATTTTGTTACTGTCTTAGCTGTAATGTTTTCTGGGTAACTGAATATAATGTAGCTGTTCAGACAGTGATGTTTTGAGGGTATCTGTAGGCCACTGTTGACAAGGGAGATATTTAACAACAAAAAGCTAATCTGTTCAGGCCTTAAATAATTTGCAAATATGCTTAAGGAAAGGTACACCTGTAGGTACAAGGTGATGAAAGAAACCCAAAAGACAATGATCATTTCATTAGTAGAGGCCAGGACTGAGGTTGGGTGAGGGCTCTGGAGGGAGGGGTAGGATCTTGGTTGCTGATTATTCTCCCGGTTCAAAATACAGTACTTTATTGTTTGCTGGATTTGCCATGTTTGTTTAGGTCAAAAGGAAAGAGAGATGTGCTTTAGTCCCATGGGGATTGGGCCACAGCCCTCCCTCTGGTGGAGCTGAGTCCTCTCCAGTGAAGGGACTCCTGCCCTGACGTGATTTTTTTTCAGGTTTACCACTGACTTCTCTTTCTATTACATTACTAATATGTTGGGTTTTTTTATTATTATTATTATTATTTATTTATTCTTTTTTATGTGTGTACCGTCAAATTGGATCTGACTGATACAGGAGGCAGTTGTTCCTCCTTCTTCAGCAGAGCATCTGGTGGATTCAAACCGCGCACCTCTGGGATTGCAGTGCAGTTTCCTGCCACTCGGCCACCAGATCTCACCTAATAAGTTGTTCTATTATTTTACTTTAATGCATTCTTTACAGTAAGACTGAAAAAGCAAGGGTGGTGAAGATTAAGGTGTGGCAGAACAGGGGAAAGAGGATAGAATTTTAAAAGGTTACTAGGTGAACTGGAAGAATTTAAATGGCAACATCTGGATAATTCCCCAACCAGGGATAGTTTCGGGGCGGGGGGTGGGGGGAGGTGCTGCCCTTGACCATAGCTGAAATGCCTGGTAAAATTATCAAACCACCACTTAAACATTCTTAGAAAAATGAAGCCTTAGGTTGAGTCCAGGTGTGCTAAGGTGATACAGTTAAGTGTTACTTTCTTCATCTTTGTATGTTTAACATTTTCTTAACTTGCAAATGAAGATACCGTTACTGTCGAATGCTAGAAGAAGGCTCTTTCCGAGGTCGAACAGCAGACTTTGTATTTATGTTCCTTTTTGGTGGATTCTTAATGACTGTATCCTTCAACAAATAGGGGACGAATACAGGAAAATGTTAACACCCTAACCTTCTCTATTCCTAAACTTTTCATCTACTTCCTACAATTCACTAGCTTTTCTGAACAAACAGATAAGAATATGCTGCCAGATTTATACTTCAGGGAACTGTTAGGTATTTTGCAGGATTTTTGTTTGTTTTTCAGTGTTTTTTATGTGACAACTTATATTTTGAGCCTAGAGCTTAGGTAGGATGTTTTTTCTACTGTGAGCAAGTGATGGGAACCTTTTCACTCAGAGGGTTACTCTTCAAGCATTCTTGTTGGATGTATTTAACTTTTAAAATAACTTGGTAAAACCTTTATCAAAACTGAAAAGCCAGTGTTAAAAGCTGATTTGTTTAGCAGATTTGGATTCAATCAAGTCTGACAAAATCGTTTTGCTCCAGATGACTTTACTCACTTCTGTAAAAGTTCTAGTGAGTAAGGCTTAATATAATCATTGGCCAAAGAATTAACACATTTTCCAAATAGGCCAAGAACTCTCATCCAAAGCAGAACATTTGTGGTAACTACAATTCAGATGATTTGGCTAACAGATTTTTTTTCTCTTTCTCTTAATATTATTAATCCTTTGATTCTAAAGTTGTGACTGCCGCTTGACTTTTCCAGTCAAACTTTTGTTAGACCTAAATCTTTTTAGTTGTCTACAGTGTTTTCTGTTAAACTTGTAATGTTGGCATTTTCCTTAATACCACCTACTAGCTTTTTGGCTTGTTTGTGAGCTTAGTTTTCTTGGGCCAGGCCTTCACAATAATGCTTGTCTACGTGTGGAGCCGAAGAAATCCCTACGTCCGCATGAACTTCTTCGGCCTTCTCAACTTCCAGGCCCCATTTCTGCCCTGGGTGCTCATGGGCTTTTCCTTGCTATTGGGGAACTCGATTATTGTGGACCTGTTGGGTGAGTACTTTTTTCCGATTTTACATTTCTTTCTTTTTTTTTTTAACCATGCAACCAACCATGTCTTTTATTACACAACTGTTTTTCAAATTATTTCCTTAATCTCTCTGTACACAGGCAATACTAAGTGTACTGCTTAACATATTCGACCTTTCAAATCTGACAGTTTAAAGAAGGGAAAATAATCCTAAAGCAAAATTAACCAGGAGGCCAATGCATCTGCCGGCCTCCAAGAACATGGAGATGAACGTGATAAACAGACTGCCCCCTATCTGAACCTTCATTCACCACCATTCGATAACCCTTTTGCAGGCCCAGATCAGCAGCACATTTCTTGCCAACAATCATGAGATGTCCAAGAAGGCTTTCATCATCATCTTCTGCTACAGAAATCTGGGTAATAGGTTTCTTAGGTATCACCAGAAAATGTATTGGTGCTTGAGGTGAAATGTCATGAAAAGCGAGGCACCACTCATCCTCAAAAATGATTTTGGCTGGGATTTCTTTCCGGATTATCTTCCCAAAGATTGTATCGCCACGAGGCCGGACGGTCTGAGCCTTAGCAATCTCATCTGCCATCTTGGTCTCCCTCCTGCACCAGGGCTCCCGGAGAAGCACGCAAGGAGGAAGGAGCAGGAGAGCCCGAGGGAGGCGGGAGCGCGAGGCCAAGCCTGCGCGGGGACCGCTGTCTGCGCGCCCCCCGATTTTACATTTCTTTTGCTACATTTTTCATATTCCATTTGAACTTCTTGGATCGCTAGAGTAAAATTATTTGAAGGAAAGGTCTCCAAAAAATGTCCAGCCACAATCGAATGGATTGATAAATTATGGTGCATTCACACAATAGAATATTAAGCAGCACGCATGAGCAATGATTTTGTAAATCACTACCTAACTTGGGAGGGATTAGAGAGCATTATGCTGAGTGAACTAAGTTCCACAAGGACAAATACTGTGTAAAACTAGTATTAGAGAATAACTATGAGAATCCAAGGCGACGGGGAAGTAGAAGGGTATGGATGTGCAAGGAAGGGTATGAGTCATGGGGTTGTACAATTTGATGGGTGGGGAGGCTGAGGGAAAACGGAAGGATCTGGTGTGGAAAACAATGTATTTAATTAGTATAAGAAAATAATGTAAAACAGAACGTATATGAATGATTGTATAACACAATGTATATAAGTGAACTAATAGCCCTTCTAAACATCCTGCGACCTACCGAGTTGCTCACTTTGGGGGGTCCTCAGCTTTACCTGTTCAGGCGGGGGGTTTAGCTCTGCTGAGGTGTCTTGTCTTTCGAGTTGCTATAATCAAGAATCCTTTAGGCAGAGTATTAAATGTATCAAAAGGAATTAGCAGACACAGAAGAATTTAATGAAACAACACATGAGCAAGAGCCTATGGTGATGAAGGAAGAAGTTCAAGCTGCTTTGAAAGAAACAGCAAAAAATAAGGCCCCAGGAATAGATGGTATACCAATTGACATATTTCAGCTAACAGATGCTGCCCTGGACTTGCTAACCAAGTTGTACCAAGAAATCTGGAGAACAACCACTTGGCCAACTGACTGGAAGAGATCTGTATTTGTTCCCGTTCCAAAGAAAGGTGACCCAACAGAGTGTGGAAACTATAGAACAATATCGTTGATTTCACATGCAAGTAAGATTCTGCTGAAGATTATCCAGAAACGACTGCAACAGCACATCAGCAGAGAACTGCCAAAAGTCCAGGCTGGGTTTTGAAGGGGTCGTGGTACTAGGGATATTGTAG